TCTATGGTGTAGAATATCGGTGAGTTGGTGGCTGGTACACTATGGTGGTAACACCTGGTGGTGGTATCTCAATATTAGCTCAATTAAACAAATAACATATAAAAAGATGTTTTGAAACTAAAGAGACTTAAACGACCATATCAAATTTATGGGATGTGACTAGAGTAGTATTCACAGGGAAATTTATAGCAGTAATGCTTATTTTAGAAAAATAGAAACATCTCCAACCAATGACTAGAACTTCTACCCTTAAAAACTACAGAAAATAACCCAAGGCCAACAAAAAGGAAATCAGATCAGAAATCAATGAATGAAAACAGAAAAATATTAAGCAAAGGCTACCTTTTAAAAATGGAAAGAATGTTTATCTCGATATTTTTCCTAATTAGACGAAACCAATTCAGTAATTCACATGATGCACCAAAAAGAATTACTTTTACACCTATTATCCATGCTGTTGCATTTTATAGTACATTTTTTTGAGTATATAAAATGATATTTCTTTCGAGTTTGTCTTAATTCAGATTCCCAGACCAACAGAGATTTGCTGGGGAAAAAAAAAAAAAAAACACGAGGAGATAGTTTATGTATGTAGTCTACAAGACATAGCATAGGAAGCAATTATATTGCCAAATCCCAGAGCTACTACAGGGTGGGGAGAAGCAGGTTAATGACAGAACACACTGCAGCACATTGACATGTACTTTTAGCCCAGAGTAAAGGCAGAACTGATTCTTACCACCCGGAGGAGTTTAAAATGCCCATTGGTTGGTCCACTTCACAAATCCCAGGCTTGCCTCAGTGGAAGAGAAGAGACCAGGGTAACATGAGAGTCCACAATGCTGAGAAGCTTATAATATGCCTTCCTCGGCGCAGTCATTATCTTTCTTGGGCACACCTGGAAGAGGGTCCTGGCCTCGCAGAGACAGAGTCAAGGGGTTAGGGGGAGGAACAAGTGGGTCCTTCCTTCAGACCAGACTGCTGCCACCCACCCATCTCCCTGCTGGCCTGGGCATCAGTGGGTGTCCTCACAGCACACCCCAGGGCTAGTGACACTGGGGCATTCATTTTCTATTCTTTGATAGACTAATTCCCGTAATTCCCATACCCATGCTCTTTCCCTGGAACTTTTCCCTCTTAAAAAGCTCACCCTATTTACCTCAATTGTCTACACGTAAAGGAGAGAAGACTTCATTTGAATGTATGGTCTGGGAGGCCTGCCCTCTTGTTTGCAGGGTATGGATTTATTTGTTTTAAGAGTACAAACAATGTCCATATGGTATATATCTAAATATTTAAAAGTTCAAGTCAATAAACACTTTTGTGAAATGTATTCCAACCTATATCCTTGACCTGGAAAGCCAGGTTCACATTTAAGATGCACAGTAGTGCTAAGATAACGTACAGTTTGCAACAAAAATAGCTACCCTTAATCAAAATCTTAGAAGATGACACAGTCTACCTTTTGGAAGACATACTAGACAAAGAGGTCAATGCAAGTCCTGCAGCCTCGGTATCTATTGATTGGGGACTCTTGGGGTCTCTAGAATCTAGATATTGATTTTTGAAGTAAGGGCACAGACTCAGTAAAAAGGGGCATAGCCAGCAGATGGTTAGAGTCAAATCTCTGACATAGGATCCCAGAGCAAAGCATTCCCTTCTCCAGGTCTCTGGGTGTGTTGAGACCAGAGATGGGAAGAGAACAGGGACTCCTGTACATTAGTACAAAAGTTTTGCCACTGTGCTGCAGAGAATATAACCCAAAGGAAAGCACACACACATACTACTCAGGTCAGAGAGCTAACAAGTTCAATCTCAGGAAATTTTTACACAAATAGACATCTGGTATCTTCAGTGATACTGGAAAGAACTCAAGTTTAATAGTGAAAAACTTCATCAATTAAAACATACTTAGTATCAAATGTATAAATAAGGATTCAAGACGTGCTGTAATTTTTATGTAGACCCCTGAAATAAGATACAGATGCCTAGAAAAACAGGATAGGACACAGAGGATTATTACCAGAATCTACAAAAAAGGAATCCAGACTCTTTGAAGTCAGAAATTATGATCTTAGTTACAGAACATATGACTTAACCTTATAGTTTTCCCAATTGCAAACTGTATATAGTTCTCTCACATTCTCTCTCTCACATTCTGAATATGTCCCTTATTATCTATATGAATCATCTAAGTCATATAATTGATAGATACATCAATCCAGGAGAGCCTCTCCTGGACCAGCTCAGGAGGTCAGTTGTGCCTATCTCTTCCCATCCCTGCCTTTATTGACTTGAGGAAGGTTGATTGAAACTGGCTTTGGTGGGAGTATATTTTTAAAGCCCTGGAAATTGGCAAACACTGCAAATCAAGGCTTGCCTTCCCCTGGAGAACCTGTTGTTATAAATTTACCGGCGCCCAGTGAGTACACGGGCATAAAGTGGGCACAAAAAGCAGATAAGTAACTCTCTAACTTCATGATGCTAATTTCTAAGTAGATTACATATTTATTACACACATACATAATTTTTACACTTGGATCTAAATCTTATTTCAAAATACATTTATTCAAAAAGACTTTTGATTTTTTTTGAAGGTGATGAACCAGAAATAGCAGAAATACTGGGATTTAAAAATTGTCAGTGCTGCCTCCCCAGTTTTCTTACCCAAATGTGAAAGAAAGATGTATTGCCCCAAAAGATAAGGAAAATTAGTTCTGTGTTTAGGAAAAAGGGGGAAATATTTCCCTGCACCTGGTCAGAAAATGCACTTATCTTTCGAGAATAGCTTGGCCCGGTACAAAGATGTTCTCATGTTGATGGTTTTACTTTGGAGTTTGTTTTATGAAACTGCCTCAAGCGCCAAATCCAAAAAAACAGGTGTGTGTGCATTTCCTATGGGAGAAATGTCATCCTTTCGGTTCCCCTCTCCTGAAAGAAATTTTAAAAATCGAGTTTCCTCCTTCAGTTCATGCTTCGACACGCCAAGGACAGACACCGCACACCTGCTCCACCTTCATCCCACGTCACTCATCATCAGCGGGAAGTAAGGCATTGAGGGGGCACAGCAAGGGAGACCATCAACCACCTGAAGAACTGGGCACAGCCTCCATTGTTTTATGTCTGAAGGCAAAAAGTCACAAAATTTGGGAAAGTCAGAACTGCAGGATAAATTAGCTCCAAAACCCCTTTACTAGAAAGGACAGAAAACAAGTTTTTATGGTTTGTCAGCTTTTAGCGCAGTTTGGATAATACTAAACACATGTGCCTTTACTCCATTCTTGCTCTGATTTATTTGCAACATCTGTGGAGAAAACCACAGCGTAGAAAGAAATTACCTTGACAGCTTCTTTTACCTAAAGAACTGTTGTATTTTCCCAGCGTTCTAGCCCATGCTTGCTCTAACAACACACTTGTGGAGTTGAATGGCAAAGTTTCTTGTATGAATTTACTTTCAAGTTTTGACCTGGCTGGGGCTAATTCATCTAATGAAAAGTAAATATTTTGATTTCTAGTGAAATTTTAAAGAATAAGAATTTTCTTTGGAGTAAGCATGATATTGTAGACACCTCTTGATTTACTGGCCCTCAGAGATGTTCACAATCTGATCTCCAGAACCAATGAATATGTGATATTAGATGGCTAAAGGGGGTTTGCAGGTGTGACTAAGTTAAGGATCTTGAAATGGGGAGAATAGTCTGGATTATCCCCATGGGCTCAATGGAATCACAAAGTCATTTATAAGAGGGAGAGAGAAGAGTGAAAGGGATTTGAATGTTATGCTGCTGTTTTTGATGCAAGAGGTCTAGAGCCAAGGAATATAGGTAGCCTCCCCCTGTAAGGTGGAAGAGGCAAGGGATTAAATTCTGTATTAGAGCCTCCAGAAAAAAAAAAAAAAAAAACAAAGCCTCCAGAAACCATTTCAGACTTCAGATCTCCAGGTCTGTAATTAATAAATTTTTGTGATTTTAAGCCATTAATTTGTTATTGCAGTGTAGGAAATGAATATATTTACAAAGCAGGAGATAAAAATCTGTTCAGCTTTCATAGGGGAAGTTGCCTCTGAAATCCACAAAAATCAGAGGATTATATACACTGTTACTTGTAATTCTATGCAAATAACTAACCAGATTTGATGCCCAAAGTACTCATATTTCAACAACACTGTTTTTATTTAAATACTAAAAGAAAATTTGTTTTTTGAATTTTAGTTTACTTAGCAAGAGTAAATAACGTGAAATATCAAATAAATACTCTGGCAAGTTGTAAGGGAGACTACAGAAAAAAGAAAAGTTCTATATTTTAGTGTCTTTAATGGAAATTTTCCTACTTTCTGAACAAGTGGCTCTATATTTTCATTTTGCCTTGGGCTTTGCGATTTATGTAGCTCCTGTGTGAGCCTGTGTCTGCATCCCTCTGTAGACTCTACATCATGATTTAAGGATTGTCTAAAGGATCGTTTTTAGACTTATGGAAAAACATGTGATTCCATCAGTAGACATAGACATATTTAAAATACTAACACATATTCAGCAGTGCTGAAGCAGATAGGTTGCCAGCTAATTATGATAACTTGACTTTTTGATGAGTAAAATCTCACATTCTGTGGAAATCTAATTTGTGTGTATGTGTATGTGTGTTTAGATAGCTGGAAGGGTTGGAAGTAAAAGAACCCATTTTAAGAATGTTAGCTGAAACTTCCAGGGAAGTCTAAGTTTGCTTTCCCCCCCTCAAAAGAAAAAAGAAAGAAAAGAAGGTGGGGAGGTGCCAAAGTAGGTGTACGAAAGGACTAGCTAGCACAACACTCACTGGTTAATGAGCTGTGGGGAGTGTGGGGCTGATAAAACACCATTAGGGAAATGTCCTTAGAAGAGCAGGCAAATGAGAAGAGCAGGCAACTCTACAAATGAACCATGAACCCAAAGAAAAATACACATTTTTAACCTACCTTTCTATCACTTAGACGTAATAAGACCAAAAAAGTTATGAGGGAGTCCTACCTTGGAGAAAAGCAACTGGATTGAAGCTTGTGATGGTTTTTATATGATGGGTAGATGTGGATCCACCTGGGTGGGTCAAGTAGGTGGCAACCCAATTTGGATAAACGTGTCCCTGATGCTTATTTGCTGAAAATAAGGAAAAATCAGGATATAGACTCTTAGATATTAAATTGCCATGTCAAGCAAGGGTTTGGGGAAATTATGTAGATTTGGGAGTGGAGTTGCACAAATTCAGAGCCATCAGTTTTTCTTTAGCAAAATGAGAGTTAAGTAGGGGTATCTGATATGTCTCAGAGCCGTGCAGCGAGCCCAGTGGGCCCGGTGCAATGGCAGACATTTCTGAACCCATGTCTACCTGTGGTAGAATTGGTGAGCTCTGAAAAGCTGTATTGACAGTGTCAGTTTTCTAGTGAGTACCAAAAACTAGAAACTCCTGTCTAGGTGAATAAGATAAGGGTGTCCTGATGCTCTTTTTTGAAGAGGCTATACTAATGTTCTCAATCTCTACTCATTTGTTCTCAACATATTATTCTTACTTTGCAGAAGTGACCAGAGTCTTCCGTCTCTTACTTCCATGTCTACCTGACTGGATCATGCTATTAAAAGTTGCATATGCATATACCACTCTGTGTTCTCTTTTTCCTTCCTTACCCACATTAGTAAAGCTTCTCAATTTAGACCCCCAAAGGAGTCACTTATAAAGAGTATTGTTTCACAGACCTTTATAAAAAGCTAATGGACATTGTGGAACCCTCCCACCCCACCCAAACAGGGGACTGCAAGTATGCAGCCCCCTTTAGCAAAATGAGAGTTATATGCAGACTACAAATATGCACATAATTATGCATCAATGCCACACGTATTTGTAGGAGTTCATGAACCCCCCCCCAAAAAATCCATTTATGGAAGCCAATGCAAAAAAAAAAATTGCTTTATTGTTTTGCCCTGTTTAAGGTTGCCAAGAACGCTAAAAAGAAAGAAGGCGTGCAATGATGCATGCGCCTTTCTTTTTAGATGGCTTGGATCGCTCTATCAACTGTTGAAGAGTCAAAAAGCAAATAAACGTCAACAGTTCTGAATCCCAACATTGTTTAATGACAACCTTCCCATGTTTGCCAACTTGCTGCTTAACAACAATCCTGTTGACACTGTATAAAAGCTTTCCAGGTCCTCCCAGGTAAATAACCCACTCCTACCAATCTCCTGGCCGCCCAACTTAGCTCTTAAATGCACACAGAATTCATGGAGATGAGTCATTTTCTTTGCCAAATGTACCTTAACATATTATAGATTTTACTTCTTCAAGAGGTTTTCTCAAGAGATCTTTTTCTAATCGCAGCAAAGACAATTATTTCAAAACTCATCAATTTTAAGTGAAACTCTAGGACTAAAATGAACTAAGTTCCCATATTATGGAACCATAAGATTTATTTTTGTTTGTATTGCTCATTAACATTTAGCACATGACTTTTTGAACAAGTGAAAAAACTTTTTTCTTACTGGTAAAGGAGCATCTCATCAAATTTTTTGAAACTCAGTGATATGTTACTGGAAACGACACAAAATTGTTTTATTTAAAAATTAATCATCAGGGCCTCCCCTCGTGGCACAGGGGTTAAAGTCTTAGTGCTATCAAGCTATCACCAGCCACTGCAGTATGAGTTCAATCCCCTTCAGGGAGCTAATCCACATGGTGCAGCCGAGCTCTCCTGTCTTGCCTGCTGCTCTCCTCAACAGTGTATTTCAGTAGACCAGCCTGTTCTGCTCCCACTCTGTCTCTGGTAAATCCTCTCACCCCCTGAATCTCTGGCCTACACCCAGTTCTTGTATGCATAAATAGATTTTTTTTTAAATGGTAAAAAAATAAGAAATTAAAATTAATCATCAACTGATTATAAACAAATGGGAGAAGTGGTAAGTTTCCTTAATAAGAAAAAGGACAAGTCAAAGAAAGCAGAACTTGTTGATACTGAAAATACAGTTATGGAGTGGATGGCAGATAAACAGCATTGTGCCCTCTCTGGCTACACTGCAAAGGTAATCTGATCGCTCTCAGTACAACCTGGCAAGAAGCCTGAGGCAGGAGCAGAGAACAAACCAAGGGAAGCAGGGGGTGGGGTGTGAAATTTGTTGGATTGGCTAATCGGGCCCTTCCCTAACAGCCAAGAAGGAAATGGATTACTTGTGGCTGTGACTAAGAAACCTATGGCCAACAGACCAGTTGCCTGCATTAAAATTCTGCCAAGAAGAATAAGAATGGTTCCAGTTTTCACGGTGGTTTTACTCAAGTTTGGAAACAGGTGGGAATATTAGAAAAACAGGTGACGGTTTAAACAGCAAATGAAGATAAAAGAAAAAAGTTCCTCAAGGTCAAAAGTGATTACATTTCTAGAAATAACCTGAAATGCCAGAGTTGAGATTGGAGGTGGGCAGATCAGGGAGGACAAGGTATAATAAGAGGAGCCTGAATTGGAGTTGTGGCATCAGGAAATTTTTGAGGACGGGGCATAATCAATATAATACAATGCCCCCTCATGCATCCCATTTACAGATGAGAGAGTTCAAGTTTCTTCTATGTCCCTATATGATTTACCTAATAGCCGATCAGTAGTGGCAAACCTGATCGGCACCAGTATCCTAGAGAACTAGTCAGGTGTCAGGGAAATGGAGAAATGGATGATAGAGATGTTGAAATGGAAAACCAAGGTAGATTCACAACTAAGAAGTTACCAATTAGTGAGAAGGCATCAATTTATAATCGGTTGGTAGCAAGATTAAAAAAATTTAATGGTGTTTTTAATGGTTCTTTTTAGCTTTCTTTTTAGCTTTTCTTTTTAGCTTTCTTTTTAGCTTTTCTTTTTAGCTTGGTTAGGGTCCTGACTTTAAACATCTAATCACTATTTTTTCTAAACATGCCTTCTGAAAAGAAAAACAAATGTTATAGTGAGGGGTTTTAGCATGATAAAGGTTCAGAAAATGGCAGTCTCCATACTAATGCCCTTGTTTAAACAGAAAGTTCTTAGAAAGGTCATTCAGTAATTTGTCCTTATCTTGATAGATTTTTTTTTAATTTATTTATTTATACATACAAGAACTGGGGTACTGGCCAGAGGTGCAGGGGGTGAGAAGATTCACCAGAGACAGAGTGGGGAACAGAACAGGCAGATTGACTGGAATACACTGCTGAGGGGAGCAGTGGGCGACACAGGAGAGGTCTGCCTCACCGTGTGGGTTGCTCCCTGGCCAGCCCGCGGATCAAACTGCCTCATAGTGTGGTGCTTAACCCCTTGAGCCACCAGGGAGGCCCTTGAAAGATTTTAAATGAGGACTTTTAATTAGCACATGAGCTTAAGGAGTTGAAAATCTGAAAACCTATTATAAAAAGAGAAAAGACACCTTGATTTTATTGTTAATATTTCTTCTAACTCCAGAAGAATCTTTTCCATTTTTTTAAAATATCATATGACACAAAAGTAGAGAAAAGACTTCTTGGAAGTTCTATGTGGTTTTTAAAGGAACTTCATCTATTGGAATTTTTTTTTTATTATTATCAGACAAGGAAAAATTGTGGTAGCTAAATGTGGTAGCTAAAATGTCTCTGTTCTGTACATTCAAAATTTGGTTTAAATCATTTCAGATGTAAACTTCTTGAACTTTGGAGTAGTAAAAGGCCCTTTTACTATAACTAGTTTTGTTTTGCTGGATACAGAAAGCATATCAAGAAATTTTTTTAAAGCTAGATCCTAACTCAAGAGAAAGCTAAAGGATCAGCAGATTAATTCTAAATCATGCTATTACTGGTTATAATTTGATGCATTTCTCCCTAGTTGCTTAAACTGTTATTTAAATTATTTTGTGTTAGATTAAAATACAGTATTCACTTGACCACTCAAAGTGATGCTCACAGGCCATAATAGAATTTACTAGAACCCAAAAGTAAAGTGATTCCAAAGAGAACGTATGAAAGAAGTGAACCCAGTTCTTCCCCACCACCATAATTTTCATTTTATAGTAGAAATTATCTTAATATTAAAAGAAATTACCATTATTTTTTCATGACCATCCAAGCATTTCAATAATAAAAATATTTTTTTTAAAGTCAGTGATTATACAGGAAAACATTTTGGCATAAAGAATGGGATGTCTAAAGTATTTTTGAACTCCTGAGGGGGAGCATGATAATCAGTGTCCCATGGGATAAAAGCCTTTTCCAAACATTGACTTCATAAGAGATAGACTTCCAGAAATATCAATGGAATCTTTATAAGCTCAAAACTGCAAGAGTAATTTCCCCGAGAGAAACATAGCATACTATGTTTTAAAAATACCTATCTTTTTAAAATATCATGAATGGAATTTTCTGTAGAGTTTGAAATGGGAAGCATAGAGACAGAGGAAGGTATAGTGTAGACTGTGACTATGGCTATTTAAGGACCAGGCCTTGTTTCTTAAGCATTGAAAGACAACAGCAATGACCAAGCAAGTGCTGAATTCATTCTGCCAGGATTTAGGAATAAACGGATGAAGTTCCAAGTAGAGTGACTCTGCATATCACTTCCATCTCCAAGAAACTGCCAGGACAATGTTTCTCAATTATGTTTCCAGTTGAGTTACCAGAAAGTAAATGTTAATCGGAGCACTACCTTATCCTTCAGAGAACTTCCATATTACTCATGACATTGAGACAACTGTAATTCCAAATAATGCAAAGAAGCCAGGAAAGAATCAGAGTTTGCCTTCAGACACTGGCCCTTGGAACTTGAGCCAAACTACAAATGCCAACTTCTTTTCTTTTGTTCTATTTTATGTCAATCTGCACTCATCCTTTCATGCTAGTTTTTTTTAATTAATACAAATATTTATAAATTGTGTTTGGTTATTGAAATCATCAACACCCTATATTTTTGTATACTTTACAGTTTTTAGGTACCCACTTACATTGACATGAAGATTTTTGTAAACACTCCGATATTGCTGCATGCTTGGACATTGTTGATGTTTATGGGAAAGTGGTAAATAGGGTGGCGGAAAGTGGAGCTATTACCCATACCCTGAGTGCATTGGTCAATTCTTTTAAAATGTGGCCAATTCTTAATGTGTTCAGAGGTTCACTCATTAATTTATTCAATATTTATTTACTGAACATAAGTATGTTCCAGGCATTGCCCACAGCACAACTATTTTCCTTTTCTTCTTTCGAAAAGCTAACTAGCAAGCTAGAAAATGAGTTTCTATAATTCTAGAGAGGAAACAATTCAAATACACCTGAGTTTTCTTCACTACTATCAGAATAGTGCCAACTTTTTTTAAAGTAAGGAAAAATAACCCTGAGTGCTGAAAGAAAAACACTACCTAAATTAGATACCTATCCGGGGTTCTATTAAATTAGTAATTAACTAGCATGGATAGAAGCTTCCAGGCAGTAAAAAACAAACAAAAACTCTGAAAGGGAATAGAGTGAATAAGGGTCGTTTATCTATCTTTACATTGAAATATACCTAAAAGCCAGCCTGTCTCCTTGCAAACCTTTCCTTTGTCTCCAAGAAACGCGGCAGAATCTTTAATGAAGTTATGAATTTCAGTTCCTATCCAAACTGGGAACTCAAGTCCAGAATACATATCTTAGCAACTGACAAATATTTTGAAAGGAAATTTGCATGAATTTTCTTTTTTGGAAACCGGTTCCTTTAAAAAACTAGAATGATGTTGTATGTGTAAGTATATAATAAATCCTATACCAGACATCAGTGGAGGTGCAGTCTTTTTCAATTCAAATGGAGCGAATTTGAACCTCATCTCACCTATGATGAGAGTCCCACATTCTCAAGTTCCCCAGAAATTCTGGCAGGGGAGTGATGGAGAGAGGGAGGATGGTATATGGCTCTTTACTATGTCTTCTAAATTTGTGATGGCTTGTGATGGCCTCCCCCTGAGCTGTTTCTACGGTAGCGACTACTCCTGAAACAGAAGACAGAACTAGCTCCCGATTGTCCCTTCTTAAAATATCACTCATATTATTCATGTGAACGTGTATTTCATTTTATTTAAGGTTTGGCTATAGCAAGAGAATTCATGTAGTTAGCTTTCTAGTGCCTCTTCTTTAAAACATTTCAACTCTATTATATCGAGTAGTTGTGCTCTCCATTCTCGTATATCCAAAGACACATCAATATGCCAACCTAAACAATGGGCTATCTGCTCCTGCTTTTTCCTTTCAGCTGTACCAAAGAGATCCATTGAAATCTAGACTTCGTTTTAGTTGGCTTTCCTACCCCCGCCCCACTATCCTCACTAGACACTTCAGGTCAAACAACAGGGTTGGTTTCTGCTGACAGGAGTTTTGTCATTCTCCATATGAACCAAAGTGGTTATAGTTTAGGCTTTAAATAACCATTTGATTTTTCTCTGTTAGAGTAGATGATCCTCAGTATCACAGAGTTCACTTTTTCTGTGGCAGTATCGAAGACAAAGTCCTCTGAACATAGCCTAGTGGTAGATCAGCTAGGGATTACCCATAACTATAATTTAAAACTCCAAAATCTTATTGGCCATGCCATGACTGTCTAGGGAAGGAAAAGAAACTTAGAATTTCTTGAATACCAACTGTGTGCCAGCCAGATAGAGGTATTCATAAAAACAAAGCAAAATTAGTGCTAGTGTTTCTTTTTAATTTTATAGATAAGGAAGCTGAGATCAGAAAAAATAACTTGCATAAGGTCACAATGGTTTTGAGGACCTGACCCAGATCTTTCTTCAGCAAAGATATGTGCTAATACTAGGAAAAAGATATTAACATATCGGACCCCTCATCGCTTAACGAACTTAATTTTTGTAAATGTTTCAGTCTCTCAGATTCTCTCAGCAGGTGAGAGAGTCTCAATGTAAATTATCCAGGGGTAAATTACGTGATAATTCTAAAGGATCTCTTCACTGTCCCAACTTGGGTCAAACTCTTCATTTCAGGAGTCAATACATAGGTACTAAGTTGAGAGATCCTAAAGTCAATTGGCAAATTGCATGTTTGAATTAAAGTGAAAACTTAATTACTGGATTGATGACAATTTTGGAGGAGGTCAGAGGATCACTTGTTTGAGAGACAGGATATGTTCTGGTGGTGAATGTGCACACAGGCATCTATCTGTAAGTGGATCCGGACATACCAATTTTGTGCCATGTGTTTAGGAAATGACTTAAGCAAGAATGGATAAAGGTAGCATTGCATTCGCCCAACTGTGTGTGGTTTTATGGTAAAATATACATGACATCAAATTTACCTTTTTAATCATTTTTAGCAAATTCAGTAGCATTAAATATATTCATATTGTTGTATCACAATCACTGCTAGTTATCCTGGACTCCGTCACCCAAACTGGAACTCCATTCCCATTAAACAATATACCCCCTTTCCTCCCAGATTTCACGGTAACCATGATTTTTTTCTATCTTTATGAATGACTATTGTAGGTACCTCCTGCAAGTGGAATCATATATTTGTCCTATTGTGTCAGACTTATTTCAAGGTTTACCCTTCAGTTTTGTTTGTGCTCACCTGTAGTTTGCTGTCCCTAGATAGAGACAACAACTCCTCTACAGTGAAATGTTCAGCATGGTCATGTCCAGAGAAATCTGAGGTAAAGAAAATTGACACATATATGCAGATTAACCAAGCAATATTTATTTTGTAAACATTGTCACTGGAGCACCTCAGCAATATCCAATGTGACAAAGGAGAGTTTGCATTCTGTGTATGCTCATGGTAATATTTTGACACTAGAAGTGAGTGTTATTTAAAATTGAATTTCTATTTATTTAGTGAAGACTTACCAAACCCCTATTACAGTAGATATAGCAAAAGAATGAGACAAAGATTCTGAAGTCTATAAAAATTATGTGAAAATTGTATGTGTCTTATGACCATGAGCCATCACCATGAACATCACTCTCAGATACAATATGATAACTGAAGGTTAAAAATGAAGGTCTTACTGTTCCTTCCAGTGGCTATTATTCCTCAAGAATAAAATCATTCCTGTTAAAGAGCAGGCATTATGGCCCCATATAACAAATATATTACATGCATATAATATCTTAACATAGTATATTAAGGTAGTGTACAAATGCATTTCTGGCAAAATGCTTAGAAGCCAGTCAACAAAATAAGTCAGCTACATACAGATGGCCAATAGGCACATGAACAAATGTTCATCACATCATCAGGAAAATGCAAACCAAAACCACATAAGATACCATCTCACATCTGTGAGAATGACCCATATCAAACAAACCAGAAACAAGTGCTGGTGAAGGTATGGAGAAAAAGGAATCCTAATATATTGTTAGTGGGAATGCAGACCAACCCTGTTCCTATGGAGAACAGTGTGGAGCTAAATAGAAAGGAAACTTGTATCCCCATGTTTATTACAGCACTATTTTCAATAGCCAAGATATGGAAACAACCTAAGATCCCCTAAACAGACGAGTGGATCAAGATGTGCTGTATATATACCCAGTGGAATACTACTCAGTGATTAAGAAATATAAGCTGATGCCATTTGCAGCAACCTAGATGGAACTTAAGGGTTTATACTAAGCAAAATAAGTCAGAAGGAGAAAGACAAGGTAGATGGTGTAACTTACATGTGAAATCTAGAGAAACTAAACAAAGGGTCCAATAAAGTCAAACTTAAAAACTAACCCTTAAAAGCTGACCGTGAGACTAAGGTACTCAAAGTGGGCAGAGAATGAAGCAGGGAGAGAGTGTAGATTATGGTGGTGGACTGTGGGTGCTTTGGTGGGTATGCTATGATGACTACACCCATCTGGGACAGGGAGAACATATATGTACAAAATATTAACAATTATGTAAACCAGTGTTACATCAATACATTTTTTTTAAACAGACAGCTGAAATAGTTCAAACACATTTCATTAGTCTTTTTTTTACTCTTGTTAGATCTCAAAAATTGAAAAGCTTCTTACAATCTATAGAACGAGATTGGGTAAGTGAAATAAAATAAAAAGTATCTTCATTTCTTTCCTAAGGTTATTTGTCTTTTAAGGGATAGTTTATTTGATTTTATACTTTACTTTTAAGACCTTGCTTATGAGACTTCCATTTTCTAGTGTTAATGACTATGTGAGTCTGGAATTTAAATGGCACAGAATTCTGATCATAATTTTTATTCTTTGTTCTGTCCATGGGGGTAAGGATACTGAAGCAGAAATGGGGTCTGAAAATGTACTGTGTAACCTGGGCCTTTTCAGTGGAAGATGCTGGCTCATATCTGCCTGTTTGAATCTTTCTTCTTCCACTGTTGAAGAGTGATCTGAGACAGATGACTTAAACCTCTTTGTGTCTTAGTTTCCTCAAGCGGTGAAGAGGGTTAGTGAGTTTACTATAAGTAAAGCACTTAGGGTAACTCCCAGCACACCCTAAACACCCTCAACTATTAGTTGTTAACACTGTGCCTCACTTCTTTGCTGCTTTCTCTAGGTCTGTGTGTTTATTTTATTTGGGACAACTCCTAAAATGGCACCTTTAGCATGGGCTTTCCCCCTTTAGTCCGGATGTCTATATAGAACTCTTTACTCCACTCAGATATCTAAAGGTTATCTTAAAATTCACAGCTCTACAGAAGAACGCTCAGGTTTTTTTTATCTTTATCAAATTTTTTCTACTCTGTTTTTCTCAGTCTCCATAAGTGTCCTTAGCTCATCCCTAAGCCACCCTCCTGGTCCCTCACACTCCACATCCAAGATATCAGCAGTCTGTCAGTTCTACCTTCCAAGATCTCCAGAGTTGACCATTTCTCATGACCTCCACTGCCTTTAACTTCATTGAAACCAAATACTCTCTCACAACTGGAGCAGCTGCCTACAGATTTTTCAGTTTCCTTCTACCTTGCTTCCTCTTTTCTTTTCTCCAGAGCACTCCCTTAAAATTGTGACCTATTACCATATTCTGCCTTTACTCAAGACCCTCCAATCATTGATTATTTCGCTCAGAATAAAACTTAAATCCTAGTACAATTGACAGGGGCTACCTGATCCAATCCCACACTCCTCCTTGATTCCTCTTCCCCTCTTCACTCTGCCCCACCCACTTTGACTTCTTTAAAGGGCTCACATCCATCCTGTGTTTGCCAGTCTCACTTTGCACAGATATCAGGATGGTGTGCCCCTCCACCTCCTCAGCTCTCTTATCCCTCCCTGATAACATGTGGAGACAGCAGGCATTTCTCTCCTCACAGTTCAGTTTCTTACCTTCTTTTTCTTTTCTTCCTTGCACTTATCATGAACTTATATATTATCTATGTATTTGTCTTTCTTTTGGAGATCAGGGAATTTTTGTTCAGGCCATATCCCTAGGGCTTAGAACAGTATATGGCATATAATAGGCATATAGAATAAAGGAATTAAAACAACTAATGTGTCACTTTCTAAGGATGATGTTGGGCCTCTATTTTGAGTGTCTGGATTTCTCACTACGAATGGATTTGCATTCATATTATGCGTCTGTGAAAGATTTTAAGATTAGGTTAAAAGAGACTTGCTTTTGCTTTTCTTTTCTTTTCTTTCTTTTTTTTTTTTTTTTTTTTTTTTTTTGCTATCATATTTTACTCCTGAGATTTGGACAGTGTTTCTCTTACTCATTCAGAGCCAATCAATGTCACCCTTTAGCCTGCCAAAGTGGTTGCTGAGTGATGAGGCATTTCATCCCTCCGGGAACTTAAAGTACGGTCTGTGCAGCTTGTACAGTCGCTGCTGGCTATGAGGGAAAAGCTACATTGATCAAGCCAAAACCTCCTACCAGGGATCATGAGCAAGGAACATTCAGGCTCTGGGTCAGCTCAGAGGGCCTTTCCATCTTCCTTTCAATACTCATGCAGATTTCAGCACTCTTGAAAGCAAGGTACCCAAGAGGATTTGCCGCAGTCGAACACATGGAGAGATCCCCACAGAGCTGCAAACACAACTCTGCAGAGAGAGATCTAGGTCTCTCTGGTGACGAAACTCATCACATACTTTTATAACTTAATTTCTAATAAAATGTTATTTGAATCAAGGGGGAAATCCCTTGTAGATTTTTTTTTTAACCATTAGAGCTGGACCAGTAAAGCGCTTTTTTTTTTTTCTTATTGAGTTTTAAATGCAGCAGAACCAATGTAATGATTTCTTAGCAATGTGGTGTCTTCGTCCACTCAGGTGCTATAATATGACACTGTAGACTGCATGTCTTAAACAGAAATTTACTTTCTTACTTCTGAAAGCTGGGAGACACACACAGAGAGATCTGCTTTCTTCTAAGAACACCACTCTCCTCCTGGGGGCTCTACCTATGTGACCTTATCTTAACCTAATTATCTCCCAAAGGTCCCACATCCAAATACCATCACACTGAGAGCTAGGGTTTCAATCTATGAATTGGGATGTGGGGAACACAAACATTTCAACCTATAACAGTGGTTAGGAGCTCTGAAATCAGAATTATCTGGATTCCAATTTTGGTTGAGATAATGACTAGCTGAGTGATTAAGCAAGTTGTTCAACTTTTTGGAGCCTCAGTTTTTTAAATCTGTAAAATAGACACATACTTCACTGAAGCCCTATTGGTGATGTTCTTTGCAATTCATCTCCACAGAGCAAATGTGTAGCAAGTAGTTGTCATATGTAATCAGAAAATATTCTACTTAAAATGAAATATGGGATAATATTAATTTTTGATTTATAATTTATTAAAATATAAAATGCATTATCCCCACCTTGGAAAATAGATTCCAAAATTCATTATTTTAAGATACCAGTTTCCATATGATGCAGGAAAATTATCAAGTATAATTTTATAAAAACAAGAGAAAATTAAGTTTTAGTTGTAAAATGCTATCTCACATGTATATGTAAATATTACAGCTTATTTTTACTCAAGCAAATATAAAATTAGAAAGTTAACATATTTTAACAAATACTTTTTCATTTATTTGTGTGAAGAATCTAGCTAAGTTCTAGATATTTTGTAGTTGTTTAAGAAATGTTAACCTCCCTTCACCTTTGAGTTTACCCATGTAAACTTCAACATAATCTAAATTTTATATGGCAGTCCCTGACAAAAATGTTACCTTTTAAAATTTTCAATTGTTAGCTTCTACTTTTAATATTTTTAATATTATTACTCTGTTTATTTGTCTGACCTATAATCTCCAGTGCAGACAAAACAAACTTTGAGGGCCTATTTTATCCAGTGTGGCCCTTTTAAATGGCTAATCATTGTTACATTACTCTTTTAGTAAAATGTTCACTGTCAAGATTCAGTCATTTATTAATTGAACCAATATCTCCTTGAAGGAGATTAAATTGTAATGTGCAATAACAGATAATAAATAGACAACCAAGATGATTTCAGATTTTCAAGAATGCTAGAAAAGACTGAAGAATAAGTAAGGGTATGTTCCCTTAGGTAGCTCTCAGGGAAGACTTCCCAGAGGTGGTGTCATCTGAGCCAAACCTGAAATTTGAACTGAAATAACTAGCCAGATAAAGAGTTAGGGAAGAGAGGAGAGAGTAAACCCCAAGACCCAACCCCCAAGGCAGGTAAGAGTTTTAGCACATTCAAAAACCAGTGTGTAGAT